CAAGCTACCAAGAAGAGCAGTTCGGCCTACTGAGAAGTAGAGCATGGAGGGATCGAAATTCATGAGCAGCTAAGCTTTTCTTTTTTGGTTCAAGGGGGGACTTTCGATTGTGTCATCGTGAGGTTCTGTGTTTAATTCAAGTTCTTGTTTTTAATTCAAGTATTCATTGGTTCTTGTGCATATTCTCATTGGATGTTAATGTTAATTAATCTAACAAATTAATTAATGTTGATTTTCCTACTGCTATCCATAGTTCGGTGATCCATAATTGTCACAAATAATGGTACAAGTAGCAATTAAGTTAATATCTTTCTAGGTCAATTGTTCATGACAGCCTTTGACCAATGTATTGACATGTTTTAACTAACCTAAAGGCAATCGATGGAACAAGATTCGATAATTGCAACTATCTCAATTATTGTTATTTTGGTTTAACTGTTTTCACAAAGCTTAATGCTATCACTAGTTGATATGGAACTCTGTCGTACCCAGTCGATTAGTGATAAGTGTTGATTGAATGCTGGGTTTGGTCAGCTGAATTAGGAAAACACAAGGTTTATTATGGCTATCCTAATAAATCTAAGGTTAAAGGCTTGAATTGCAAGACTGTCGAAGTCTACCTATGATCGACAACCAATAGATCAATCCGAACCCTTGAATTAGAATTCAGTGAGACTGATTTCTCTTGTTTGTTCGTTGCTATTTGCTTTCTTGTTCTTTTAGAAGTTTTAATTATTTAATTTTCCCACTCCATTATATTATTCATTTGGTTGAGAGATTATTGTTTAGCTCCCTGCTGGATTCGACCTAGTACCACTTTTACTGCAAAAATTTTATTGTGGGACTAGCATTAATTTTGAGGGCTTCGACAACCCGTCAGAGGCTCCCCTTGCTCTCACAAAGACCTAATTAAATAACCACAAAACCCGCTTAGGCTTAGCCGTTTAACCTCTTTCCTTAGACACCAACCGCCGGTTATGGAAAGTAATTACAAGCTTCCCTAAAATTCAATACACTTTTGAACCAAATGTGAGGCTTCCTAAAGGATCTTGCTATCCAAATTTTAAATTAAGGTTTAGGGTGGATGCACATGAAGGGTGGTGATTTTTGGGCCATGGAAGGGTGATGAAATCCCTACCTTATCTTATTTAAGTTGGATTGCCCTAAAATGGATTAATAAAAAAAAACACAACAAACAAAATAAATGCAACTAATTACAATGCATGGACAATTATTTCTAATATGCAATTCAACAACTTAACATAAAATGAAATAACAAACTAATTCAGCAAAAGGAATAATTAAAAATGAAAAACCCTAACACATTAACAACTAATAATGATAATTTCAGCAATTAAATAATCCTATAAGATGCATGCTCTAAAACATCAAACCCTAAATGCTGGAATGCAAATGCCAAACATTTTAAAAAGATTAATTAATTTTTTTATTATTTTAATTTTTATAATTTTTTATTTTTTATTTTTTATTTGAAATTCAAAATTTGAAATTTAAATTTGAAATTTAAATTCAAATTCAAATTCGAATTAAAATTTAAATTCTGAATTCAAATTTGAAATTCAAACTCAAATTCGAAAACTTGAATAATTTCCTATTAACAATTAATTATTCAATTAAATAACTAATTAAAGGGCAATTAAATAAAGCAACCAAGAATTATAGCAAACAGAAAATAAAAGGTGATGAGACTAAAAAGTACTCTATTTTTATCCCCAAATATTCACTCTTTTCCACTAATTTAGCACTTAATTGGACTCATTACTCTTGTATTTTAATTCAGGCCAAGCAAGAAGGAAATTGGAAGAAAACAAGGCAATTCAGATGATTTTGCATAGTTTCAGCACCATTCAGTAATCTGGGAATAACTCTCAATTCTGGAATTTGATTTGGATAATTCAAGAGGTAACAGAAAGATGAAAGAAAGACCCACAACTTTTATGTTTTGGGTTTTGACAGATTCGGTCCGCATCGAATATGAAACCGGGCCCGAAGTCGGAGCAAGTTCACAGCCAAACCCATTTCATAGCTGAAGCCCAATTTGCAGAAGAGCCTTGTAGCAGCCCAAGATATAAAAGCAGCCCAACTCGAATTCAAGAGCCTAGAGTCCCAATTGCGAATGTAACCTCTAGGAAGAGAGTCTTATTAGATTTAAATTTTGAATGTAATCCTATAAAAATAAGAAGATTGGATTAGATCACTAGATAAGAGATAGGATAGGATTAGTTCAAAACAGATCAGGACTTGAAGTTAATCTCCTAGGCATCCCTCAATCAGTCCAGCAATCAAGCTTCAAGCAACTCAAGCTACCAAGAAGATCAGTTCGGCTTACTGAGAAGCAAAGCCTGAAGGGTTCGAAAATCATGAGCAGTTAAGCCTTTTCTTTCCTAGTTCAAGGGGGGAGGTTTGATTGTGTCATCGTGAGGTTCTGTATTTAACTCAAGTTTCTTGCTTTTTAATTCAAGTATTCATTGGTTCTTGTGCATATTCTCATTGGATGTTAATGTTAATTAGTCTGACAAATTAATTAATGTTGATTTTCCTACTGCTATCCATGGTTCGGTGATTCGTAATTGTCACGAATAGTGGTACAAGTAGCAATTAGGTTAATATCTTTCTGGGTCAATTGTTCATGACAGACTTTGACCAATGTATTGACATGTTTTAACCTAAAAGGGAATCAATGGAACAAGATTCGATAATTGCAGCTATCTCAATTATTGTTATTTTGGTTTAACTATTTTCACAAAGCTTAATGTTATCTCTAATTGATATGGAACGCTATCGTACCCAGTTGATTAGTGATAAGTGTTGATCGAATGCTGGGTTTGGTCAGCTGAWTTAGRAAAACACAAGGTTTATTATGGCTATCCTAATAAATCTAAGGTTAAATGCTTGAATTGCTAGACTACTGAAGTCTACCTATGATCGATGGCCAATTGACAAACCCGAACCCTTGAATCAGAATTCGGTAAGACTGATTTCTCTTGTTTGATATTGCTATTGCTTTCTTGTTCTTTTATAATTTTTAATTATTTAATTTTCCCACTCTATTATATTGCGCATTCAGCTAAGAAATTATTCCCTAGCTCCCTATGGGATTCAACCTAGTACCACTATTACTACGAAAATTTTATTGTGGGACTAGCATTAATTTTGAGGGCTTCGACAACCCGTCAAAATTTTGGCACTGTTGCCGGGGAGCTACTTTATTTTCTTAGCTTGTTACCATCTATTTGTGTTAACCTTCTTTGTTTTATGACTCGTGCTTCTCAACAAGGTGAACTAGATTACAACCCCGAAATTGAGAAGACTAACCGTCGTTTAAGGAAGGAGGCAAAGCAAAGGAAGTGCATTGAAGTAAAATTTGGTGCATTGAAGCAAAGGAAGTGCCTTTCGGTCTGTGTAACGCTCCAGGCACTTTTCAAAGATGCATGATAAGTATATTTTCTGATTTTATTGAGAAGTGCATTGAAGTGTTCATGGACGATTTTACTGTTTATGGTGATTCGTTTGATGACTGCTTAAGTAATTTAAGTAAAATTCTGAATCGATGTGTAGAGACAAATCTTGTTTTGAATTATGAGAAATGCGACTTTATGGTAAAGGAAGGCATTGTGTTGGGACATGTTATTTCGGCTAGAGGAATAGAGGTTGACAAGGACAAGATTGATCTAATTGTGAGCTTACCTTACCCTACCAATGTTAGGGAAGTTCGTTCCTTTCTTGGACATGCAGGTTTCTATCATAGGTTTATTAGAGACTTTTCAAAAATCACCCTGCCATTGTCCAATTTGCTTCAGAAGGATGTGCCTTTCGATTTTGGAGATGAGTGCAAGGAAGCCTTTGACAAGCTCAAGAAACTATTAACAATTGCACCCATTATTCAACCACCTGATTGGAACTTGCCCTTTGAGATCATGAGCGATGCAAGCAACTATGCGGTAGGGGCTGTTTTAGGTCAACAAGTTGATGGGAGGAGCCACATCATCTACTATGTTTCAAAAACATTAAATGTTGCACAGTGCAACTACACAA